TATTTAGTGTTTTATCCAGATGCTAAAATGCTAAAGGCATCTATTGGACACCACTACCACTTTTCATGTACAATTTTAAACAGTTTTGGTATTTTTATAACTGTAGGCATCCTGTGAAGGGTTTTAAATGTGTAATGATTGTGATCACACTTTAGTTAATGTCTGATAACCATGGCTTTTAGTTTGTGGTCAAACATCACTGTGACTAAGTACCACCTACACATTACAGCTACAGAAGCTGCTCAGCTGTGGAGAGCAACTGTTTTTGTGTTGATATTAACGCCAGAGGAGGTTTAAAATCTGCAGGTTGTGAGTCAGCAGAGCATTTTATGCACTGTGTGCCTCTGCAGTGACCCTGCTCTGTAACTTTACATGGTCTGTGCTGTGGTTCCTAAACACTTCTACTTTGCAGTAATAGCATTTACAGTTGAACATGGACTATGAAATTACATGAACTGACTTGTTGCAGTGATTGTATTTTATTACAGCGTCACGCTCAAATTCAGTGAGCTCTTTCACAGACTGCATGGCTAGGCACGCGACTTTATACACCTGTAGCATTGTGACTGAAAACACCAGAGTTCAAAGCATGAGGGGTGTTGGCCAATACTTTTGGCCTCTTCTTTTCAGTCTTCTTTTTGTCTATATAGTGTATGTTTCACTTGGACTTGAGGAAAAAGGAGAATTAGATCACTCAACTCCAAAAACTATTTTTTTCTTGTGTGAATTCTTGTGCTATTATTTCAATGCCTAAAAGGTAATGAAATTTCATATCCAAAAGGTCAAAGTTCATCTTATGGGTGTCATAATAATGTTCAACAAAAACACTTTCCTAGACATTATTCAACACCAAACATTTGGAACAGTGAAGGAAACTGTAGTCACATTTCACATCTAGTCTTCACTCTAGGGCTGGGCGATATGGCCTAAAATCCATATCGCGATATAATTTGAAGCACGTGCGGTAACGATATGTATCACAATATAGTCTTTTCTTCTGTAAAACGTATTTTCCACACTGTAAGGCACACTTAAAATCCTTTAATTTTCTCAAAAATCAAGAGTGTGCCTTATGTATGAATTCTGGTTGTGCTTACTGACCTCGAACC